TTTCGCTTCATTTTGACAAACAGGGTGATCCAGCCTTCAGCCTTCACCCAGGAAGACACAGCAACACTGAGCCCTGTAGGAAGCTGATGGCAAGTGCATGTCATAAAATGGACATGCTTGTGCTCACTCTGCCTTTTTAACAATATTTAACCACCAAAGTCAGTATTCAGGTAATAGTAAAGGCCTTTTAAAGTTAAAGCAATTGTTCGACATTTTTCTTATTCGTTTTCTTGCCAGTAGTTAAATGAGAACATCAATACTGCTGTTATGGCTGTACGGTAAATATTAAGCTACATCCAGGAGATGGTTAGCTTAGCTTAGCATAAAGACTGCAAACAAGGGGAAATAGCTAACCTGGTTCTGTCCCGAGGTAGAAGGTGAGATATAACGTTAATCGGTGAGCTGAGATGCTAGGATTTCAGGAAAGTAATATTGATCTAATCAAATTCTCAACACGAAAACAAATATGTCAAACTATTCCTTTAAGACTATAGATACTGTACAGAGGTACCATTATGTGTCACCTCATGCGGTTTTCGCTGAAATAGCCAAGTAAAGTTTAATACTGGAGTTGCACTTTGTTGTTGTTTTTTCACCAGAAAAATAGGTTGTCTCCCTCTTGCCTTAACTCCACTCAAACTGGGTTTTCCCAAGCGCTCCGTGGGTAACACTTGAGATGGATGGATGGATGAAGAGGTGGATAATAAATCTTTCCTTCTGCCTTCTTATCTTTAGATCCAACTTTATTGACTTCGCAGTGTGGCTGTTCTGCTCCCTGACTCGCAGTTTGGATGTTGCATTGAGGGATCAAGCCTCTGGCCCTCACCAGTTCATGCTGAATCAAAATTGAACAGGTGGTAGAACTGTACAAGACCACAAAACATACATACACAAAGGATTAAGTGACCGCAAACATGGATTATCTATTAAGGCCTTTATTTACCTGACCTTTAGCTCTGATAATCATCTGTCAACATGTGGTCTGGTGGACGAGCAGCAACTGGGGTCAGAGTTGTAATAACTGCTCTTGTTAATACACTGACAATCCCACATCTCTTTCTCTCTCTCAAACACACACACACTCTCTTTCTCCCCACTCATTAGCAAAAAAAGCATCACAGAACTATTGATTCAGAGCAAACAAAGAGTGAAAAAATTGACGCAGGAAAAATAAGTCAGGGGTTGTGACTCATTGATTTACTTGTCAGTGCAGATCTGTGATCAGCAGCTGTAATGTGTGTGTGTATATGTGTGTGTGTCTGTTTACTTGCTGAAAGATGAAATGGGAGGTGCTGGACGCAACAACAACAGCAACAGTAAATCACTTTAGAATAAATGTGAGAGGAAATTGATTGGAGCAATATGAGGCAGCAGTAAGTAAAGAATACTTTGTTATTGAATTAACTAATGCTTTCCTCCTTAGGTTTGCATTAATAAAACCCTCCTTGCCATGCCTTGAAGGTCTGAGCATGCTCACTGGCACAATATTATGCATAATTAAGCATATCAATTGCATATTATGGACAATTCACAAAAAGCTTCTTGTCTCCAAGACTGACACGAATAATTCAGAAGCCCATTTCACAAGCAGTCATACACCTTTAGAGAAATTAATTCACATCAACCTCATTTTACGCCAGATTTAGAGTCATGTTGTCCCTCTGTGAATGCTCTGGTTTAAGCTCAGCAAAACTTTTTTCCTCCATAAAACCTCGACAAAATGCGCATCTGCATCTTCTCACAAAATCCTAGATGCACTGTGTTTTGTTTTGCCACCTAATGTGACATGATGCTGAATCACATTAAGCAGCGTTATTTGTGAGAAATGAAACCTGAGTTTTTCTTTAGGAATCGGGAGTCTCAGACAGTGAGCAATCCATTGAAGTTCCACAGGTAGAACTGCCTTTAAAACAAAAACAAAAGTGTAAATGTGTCATCACATGAACTTGCTCCTCAAACAGTAGGTCCTCTGCCCTACATAGATTTATGTGGACATCCATTTTGCATGTTTGTTATTTGGACATGAAACAACACTGTATTTAGGCTTAGCTGCTGGCACATACTGGCACAATAGCACAAAATAACATTTGTATGTAGGATGGAAAACAAAATATAAATGAGGTTTATGAGACAGTGCAGTCCTTCTGGTGACTTGGTGGGCCAGTGCGTGTGTACATAGGTCTGAGCCATAAAAAGCTTTGTATCTAACATCTTAGCTCTTTTTTTTTTTTTTTTGCATTTAATAACCACAAAAATAACAAATCCAGAGAAACAAAAGTGTTCTGGCTAGGGCTAGGAACTAGGGCTCAGAGAGGCTCTCATTTCTTCTTCTTTATTTTCCATTGTCTTCTTCCTGTCCTGTTTAATCTGTCATTAAGCAGTTTGTTTCCCAGACGTTATCTGGTTTATGCATTACTGGCTGCAATGTTGGATTATGATTATTAATGGAGTTATCGCCAGAGAAATCTCACACACCCTTTTTATAAAGGAAAACAAAACCATGGAAACTGTCTTAAGCAGCACACCACTGTCACCTAGTGGACAAACTGTCTACATGCCTGGATATAGATATGTATGCGTTTGAAACTCAGAAACTTAATGTGTCTCATATGAAACATAGTTAAACTAATGTTCTGTACATTTCAGGTAATGTATGAAACATGTTTCATTTAGCATTTGGAGTGAGGAGATGCAATGAAATATCAGGTGTTGTCACCTGATTTTAAAATTTTCTTGGAAAGTGCTTTGCTTTATCACTTCTCCTCATCCTGACTTTACCAGCACTACGGTCAGAGTTCTTATTATTCCTATCAGAGGGCAATTGGCAGCAAAATGCAAGCCTAAAGAGTCCCACAGGTCTGTTGTGTTTGCTGAGAAAATCTGGCATCCTTGAGATGACTCTCTGCTTCATCGCTCTGTCTTTCTGAACCCACTGCAGTATGCTAATCCTTGAAGACTTCCGCTCCCACCTGCCAACCCTCATTATTTTCATGCTATTTTTGAGATAAACAATGTAGAGTAGCTCAGTGCCAGTGAGATTTCCTCCTATTATACAGTAATGAAGATGGAGATTGCAAACAGACCTACAGGCAAAGAAACACACTAAAACTTCATCAAAAATTTGTTACCTGAGTGATTCTTAAACACTGATCAAGTGACTCTTTAAAATTAAACTGAACTCTTTTTACATTTAAAATGTTGGTAATTGCCTGTCAAATGTGCATCCAAGTGGAATAACAGACGCATTACCTTCAGCTAACATGTGGCCGTTAAATGTTCCACTTTTATCACAAATAAATAATCTTACTCCATATGTTAGCTCTAAACTTCACCATGGCATTTAAAGGATAGGTTCACATTTTTTCAAGCCTGTCCTGAAACAATATTCACATGCCCATATACATTAAAAGAGTTATTGGTAGCTGTAATCACTCCTCCTGTACATACTGGCTGTGAAGTGATCCCTTAACATTATTGTAAGTAAGGCTGCCTTCAGCCCGACTTTAGCCCTGTGTGAAAAACACAGCCTTATCATTCATTTGAATGGAGCCAGTCTGTGGGAGTGTCAATGCAGGGGTCTCTGAGGAAACTACACAGGGTCAAACAAAGCTCAACTTTTGGAGCAACGCAATACGACGTCATCCGGCAAGGCGCTGCATTGGCCAATCAAATACATGCAAGCAAGGATTTACTTCCTGGATTACATTTTGTCTTTCCATAACCTGAAGCAACACAAAAATAAACATAGAAATCCGGCCATTAAATCTGACTGTAAAGGGTGCTGACATTGCTGATGTGTAGGTGGAAACGGACACTGTGGACAAGCTGATAAAATACCAGTTGAAGTCAGTCCTGGCTAAACTTATACTTAAAAATATAAGAATGTAATAAGGCATCAGAAGGTTTGTTACGGTTAGGGTTACATTACCTGACCTTAGACCCGATGGGCCAACGTCAGGACATTATGATATAATGTATGATATACATTATATCATCACACATATTTAATTTGTCCCTAAACATAGACAGTCGGTATACTCTAAATCCAAGATAGGTAAAAACAATGAAGACTAAAAGAAATATTACTGGGAGATTCTACTCAAATACAATATGTAGTGCGGTATCACCTGATCAAAGCAGTGGTTTCAATTCTTATTGTATAAATCACATATACATATACAGATATAGATAATAGTGTCTACATTATAGGTCCCCTGCTTCCTTCTCTCTACACCTCTAGCCCTCCCCCAGACTCTTGGATATTCTTGGGCCTTATCTCAAACACCTCTGTCTCCATGCATACAATTAACCCCTTCCCCCTCTCACTGGACTCCCACCCACTCTTGACCATTACCATCATTAGCATAAGCACAATAGCTAAATGGAGAATAGGCGGTGAGCAAAAACCACAAAACCAGTTTCAAAGCTCATTTCTATTGTTTAGCCACTGGCTTGATTTGACCTGTGTGTATGCACATTTGGATGTGGTTACAGAATCATTTTGTACCTTTTTCCACTCTTGCTTTATCTTTTATACAGCACACGGGTTGTCAACGTGAATTAACTTGGCAAGGCTTGACATTTCGTTTTAGGTCATACATACAGCAGACCTCTGCCACTAATGTGGGATGTGTTAAGCTTTCCAATTTATCCCATCAGAGATTCAAATCAAGATGCAGCTGATGGGCCATAAGATTAGAAGTGCTTAGAAGAGAGTTATTGGTTTCACTTCAACCAGAACAAAGACTCACTGACCTGGAAGAAGGACCAATTGATTCAGCGTCGTTTTACAGTTCCCTGTGCTGTAACAATTGCTTTTAGGTATTGTGAAGCATAAAACAACTGGTGGCTTTAACAATTTGTCAGACATAGCCTGTGTTAAGGAGCTGACATGATGAAGCACCACTTACTATAAAGTCATGTACAATACATAGCACCAAAAATGCAGCATTAAATAACCTGGGATATGAAAACTTTTCAAGCAAGAACAAAGCAAAGGCTTGATGCCGGAAGATTTTATTTTTAGTTTACTGATATACAGCCTAACAGCACAGATTTCTTCACTGACTATAATGCAGGCTGTCAGTATCAACAGTACCAATTTCAGACATGAAATGAATAAGAAAAATAAATACACTAAGTACAAATTGAAACTTCTATTATTTAGGGTTGTAACAGTGGCAGTTCTGTAAAACACGCTTGTCTGTGTGCAGTGAAGTGGAACTTCATTAATTGAAAAATAGTAGACATTTACTGAAAAAAAAAAAAAAAAGTAGACAAAACATAGCTTATAAAATATTCCCCAATATTACAAGAAAATAGGTAGTTTGAAATGAAGGATTGTACAAAAAATAAAATATCTTCATTTATATTCAGCTTTCAAGTAAAGACACCACGTAAACATTTCTCAGTAGAATTGTTGGAAAATTGAAACTTAACCAAAAAGGTGCAAGCTGGTTAAGACAATACATTGAACAGAGTAATGGGAATTATTTTAGTGCAAAGTGTGACAAAACTCACAGTTTCTATAATGTTCATACCAGGTTCTTGCCAGAGGAAAGAGCGGCATTTTAAAAGTAGGTCATTAAATCATCTAAAACTTCGGTGCACAAAGTGAATTTCTGAGGTGAGTACATTTAATAATTAAAAGGACAAATATGAACAAGGAACCCTGTTTGTGATGATGTCTGAACAAGGAGAGTAAACTAATCTCTGAACAAATTCTGGCAGCTCTCTACATTCAATGAATTAAAAAAACAAAACAAAAAAAAAACACAACATTAAACCACCATGAATCTCCCAGATCAATCTAATGTGCATCACCAAAAAAAGAATATATTTAAGCATCAACAATCTTACTACAATGGAAACTGTAAAAGGGCCCCAAGTACAGCACTTAGCATCCTTAAAAGGGAATGAAGTAGAAGTAGAAAAGGTTTCAAACAAAATGCCACTAAACAACAGCTTTCAAGTAAAGACACCACGTAAACTGTTGCCAGGAGGGCATGGCATGTGGAACAGACCCACAACTCAGTTTGCGCAACACACGTGCAAATGTCCGGGAGGGAGAAGTGAGCTGAGGTGGTGGTGCAGAGGAAGGACACAATGCATTTAGATGGTAAGCCAGTTAATTTAGACCATGAAAACATGAGGTCAACAATGTATAGGTAGTATGTTTACAATAAAATGCACAGGCAGAGAGACAAATGTGAAGTTTTTGGAGCGAAGAAGTTCTTTAACAGAGCACTCATGCTGGAACCCCGTAACCCCACGGGGTTAAAGCTTTGTACATTTACCCATGAACCAGTGACACCCCATGATGCAAAGCCCGCTTCCACATGTAGTACGTCGAGCGTGGAGTAAAGGGGAAGTAAGACCTGAATTCTTTAAATGTGGGGAAGGATTTCTCCTCAAAGCGCTGCTGCAGAAACAGCTTGGCCTTGGCCTTGAAGTTGGCCAGAGCCACAACATCCATCGCAAACATCTGCTCATCTATGGGAGCCTTGCTGTGAAGGGTGTGCTTTGAGTGTTGGCCATCAAAGGAGGGCACTGAGGAACTTTCTAGATACTGAGGACTCTCAACAAATGGAAGCACATGCTGAGTATCCATCCTCCTCTCCATAATCTTGTTCTCTGTAAGAGTGTTCTCCAGACTCTCAGGAAGGTTAACCACTGCACTCTGTGTGAGCATCTTCTTCTTCCGGTTCTGACTGCTACGCCACAGCCAGTAGAAACACGGGGACATGGAAGGGAACTTGAGCTTGAACTTTGTCAGGGACCATTTGGACTTCTGGACATGCAGCTTTGCAGCATCTCTGAGCTGCTTTTTGCTCAGGTATGCCAGCCTGAAACTTCTGTGTTTTCGCCTGCAGATCCTTGTTCTGGCTACAACAGGCTGGGTGGTGGTGGGCAGGAAGGGCAAAAGACTTTTTGGACTGTGACTCTTGTCTGCATCTGAGCTGTCCTCACTGCTGCCAACACTGCCTTTGTAACCTCCGTTAAACAGCATGGCCTCTCTCCTCCAGTTGTAGTAGGTTGATCTGGAGATCCCTGGGAAATTTCTTTTGAAGATCCTGAAGGGGAGGGAGGCGTTCATAGCAATGCAGTTTTGCAGACAGCGCTTAGCTTCCTGCATATGAGCGACATTCTGGGCCCGGTCCAGATCCAGCTTGCCGAGGCTGAGGCCAAACATACCGGCCACGCTGTCGTGGTGGTCTGGCTCGGGGTCCTGCTTTGCTTCAGGTGAAGACCAGGCCTCCTGTTCCGTGCTCTCTCCAGGACTGATCTCTCCGGCCGATGATGAGGTGGAGAAGGTTCCTCCGGATTTCAGAAGCTCGTGCTTCCAGTTGTAGTAAGACGACCTTGAGATCTCTGGGAAAAACTCTTTAAACTGGTGCAGAGGGATGAGTTTGCCCTCCAGGTAGCAGGCCTGCAGGAAATACTTTGCCTCGTACCTGGCTGCTGACTTTTTGCAGTGCTCCTGCGTCTGCCTCTTCCAGCGGTAGAAGGTCCTCTTGGTGATGTTGTACTTGTCCTTTAGACTTAGGTAAGAAAGCTGCGAGTCCTGGTTCAGCAGCTCCTCGCTCTTGAGTGGCAACTCCCTCTGCTCACTGTCAGGGCTTCCGATAGTGAGGTCACTTATCTGGACTAGTGCCACAAAATGATTTGGCCTGAACAAAGACTCGGACTGCAGCTCACCAGACCACATGATGTGGAGGGTTAGTGTCTCAGAGTCTTTCGTCCTGGTCCTTGGACATATGACACGGTTGAAATAGGGTCGGATCTTGAGATTGAACATTGGGTAGATGGAGTAGATGTTGAAATGCAGGACAGATGACAGGGCATACACATGCCACATATTGGCGTAGGAGCCGGGGAAGCAGGATGCTTTGACATCTGCATCAAAGATGGCCTCCAAGACTGTTACAGGCAGGTTGAGCATGTCCTGAGACTCTTCGGCACAGAGACTGAAGCGAACCGCTTGAAGCATCACTTTTGAATCGATCATTCCAGACAGGTAGTATCTCTTCCACAACACCATTTCCACTACTGTCCGTACCTGTGGGGAACAAAATTACTGCAATTAATATTGCAATCATTAAGTGTACAAACAAATAGCTAGAATAATTCTGCATTGATGTGAAACAGACCACAGAGACAGTTAATAAATCATCACTGCTTACCTGTAGCTCCAAGCTCAGTTCAGTGTTGCCCACTAACAGCATGCTAACAGCATCGAACAGTACGTTGCCCTCTCCCTTGCAGTTTAGAGGCAGGAGGCCCAGGGGTGCATCAGTTGGATACAAGCCACGAGCAGTGTCATCAACGCCTGCCCACTCAGGGAAATCCTGACAGGGGGTCCTTGGGAGCTGGAAGGGAGCGAGAACCTGGTCCACCTCCAGGGCCACTCTGGTCAGGGTGTCCAGGCCAGAGCTCTCTGTGGCCTCCTGGAGCTCCCTAAGCACAGAAAGCATGATCTCCTTCCTCTGAATCATACCTAGGGATCTGATGAGAGCTACAGGGGAGAAGAAAGAGGATGAGATGGTGAACAAAAATAAGAAGATAATGGAAGAGCAGAGGGAAGCTCCAGATGATTCTGATAAGTTTAGTAGTCTAAAACTCTCAAAACTATTAGCTATTAATAGGCATGCCTGAGTTACTAGACTAGATAATGTAGATTATTGCGGTCTATTCACTGGCAGACAACAGCTGCAGTCTGATAAAAGAAACTGATCTTGGACTCATCACAAAATACACACATCTCACATTCTAATTTATTGCACTGGATTAATTCCTGCAAAATAAAGAATTATTGGAAATACACTGCTCAATTATTAAATACATGTCCTCCTCATTGACTCAAATCTAACATTTTTCCCCCTGCTGCACCATGGCTGTGTTTAAGGTTGGGCCTTCTACAAATTACATTTAAGCAAAAGTACATAAAATTCTATTAGTGTGTTTTATAGTATTTTTTTTTCTAACTGCAAAGTATTTATGACTCATTTCTTCATCTGAAAGATGACTGAAATCCAAAGTCACTACAACAACAATAAGGCCTACTTTGCGTGGCGCATATGCATGTTGTTTTAGGTTCTAGTTGTGCTAATGTTCTAGGTTATTAATTTGCTCGTCTGTGTAATTTCAAAGACTTCATTTATCTTGCGATATTTAAATCTGTGCACGTGTAGGTCCTATCAGTTAGGCTCTCCACTTAAACAGAACGAAACATAAAACGCATATCTTAATAGTGGGGGAAGCAAATTTCTCTGCATTAATCGCAACGCAAAGCATTAATGGAAACGGTTGTTTTCTTACCTGAACTTCCAGAGACAAAAAAATAGACGCAAATTAAGTCGTTTGCTTGTAGAGCAGGGATTTACAGCTGATAATGTTGATCTCTTGGTGAGTTTCAGTCCATGGTGTGCGTGCAACTCCGGAGTGTCCTGTCCTCCGGTGAGCGCTGGAGATTTTGGGAGTGATAAGGAGCACCTCCCTTCAGGAAATTGTTAATCGTCGATTCGCTTTTTTTTGTCTCTGAGTCGAGAAACACCTCCTTCCTACCCCCTCCTCCTCTTCCCTCCTCCAGTAGACTACAGCCAGGGTCAATTTCAATGTGAAGTGTTAACAAAAGCCAATGTGTCACGGGGCAATAAGAACACAGAGGCAGGTATCGGTGCTTTTAGGTTTTTAATCAGCGCGTTTTTGTTTTGTTTTTTGCTTTTCTAACTCCAGATGTCAAAAGTTCACTTTCAAGGTTATTTGTCAAGTCTCTCTAGGTGTCAAAGCAAAAACATCAAGCAGGGTTATTTTTTGTGCCTCATAAATTCAATTCAAATCAGCTTTATTGGAATGAATGTATAACAAAAGTATTTCTCTCCTAACTCTTATGTGGTTGTTCAAAAATATACTTTGTAGGAAATTTACTTTTATTGCTTCTTAAATATGATTAAATTCTTCTTCAGTGTCAAAAGACAGAAGAAGAAAAAAACAGAACTTTTGTAGCAGCGACCTTGCTCTTTCTTTCACACTTTACTATGAATTAATTTAGTATTTATTATTTAGTCTGTACTCCAGAGACTAGTGTAGGCTGGTTTGTGGATTAGAGTGGATATGTGCAGACAGGGTGTGGACATGAGCTTTATTAGAGGAGAGGAGGGCTCCCGAGCTCTGGGTCTGCTTGTTTCTTCACTGTATCGCTTTTAACACCTCCTCTCCTGCCTTTTGCAGGATTTCAGTAATCAAGGCCTTTTGTTCCACACATGCACAACAATCCCAGCGACTGTCCCCAACCCCCGGCACCCCTACTGTAGACCCCAACACCCTATGGCTTTTTTCTCCATGCACACACACACACGCTCACACACCAGGGGACAGAAGCATTTGGCCCCCACTGATCTGTCCATTCCAAGCACTTGGCAGACAAGCTGGTGCCTGAGTTCACTGGGGTTCATGGCTTTGACCTAAAGCTTATCAGCAATTTGGACAATGTGTGAGTGTGTGGCGTCCCCCATGTGGGGGTTTACAAAAGAACCAGCACAATTTCACCACTTTGGTTTGTAATACTGACATAGCAACCTGAGATAATGCATGCAGGCGCCCGCTTGTTAATAGTATGGTAATATGTGTGTGTGTGAATAAAAAATTCCCTCTCTTGATAAAGCGCTCCCTTCACTTGCCTTCTTTGACCTAAAATGTTTTAGAAGTTACTGTCTGTTGAAATTCTTGAGGCAGTAAGATTACTGTTACCTTACATTTACTGAATATTGTGAAATGACTAAGACGATATGTTTTGTAAGGAAAAGGTCAAAGGAAGTGTCTGAAAATTTCATCAAAGCAGTGGGGCGTAAAAGAGGTCATGCTGAAACCATATGTGCACCATTTCATTTTAAAAGCCACTTTTTCAATAGTCAATTATTTAATTAAGGAGGCCCAAGGGACATCCAGCGGCACAGCCATTTGTAAAATTTAGTATTAATCCAGAGATAGTTCAATGGAACTTCATTACATTGAACTTGTAGAAGTGCCTCAATGCAGTAGTCTCGTACTGAATTTTCCACTTTATCCCTAGATTTTCTGCTTTGAGTGTGAGTTCAGGGACATTTCATGTACTTTGATTTTCTTTATAGCATATTAAATCATACTCATCGCTGTTTCTCTTTTACATTCCCTCTTTGCCTTCATCTTCTATTCACTTTAATGCCTTAAACACATCCTTTGCATCCTGAAAGATTAAATCAAGAAAATGACATATCTAGAATCTGATCCACATGTCTACTTCCATTTCATGTGATATGTAACAAGGATCTCTAACCTATCCTGGAACGGCTTTTTCAACATTATTCATCTCCCCTCTTTTTTGTCAATGTTTGTGTCTTCACTATCTCTTCAACCCCCTCAGACTCTTCAATCACACACCTTAGGTGTGTAGATTAGCTGTGCTGCGCTGCACTGTGAACACAGTAGTGGGCTGGCTGCAAGCATTTAAAATGCAAATAGGGCAACACTGGGGCCGGCTCCAGCAGTCTCTCACCTGCTGTGGCTGTGTGTTTTCGTGTATGTATGTGTGTGTGCAGGTGTGACTGTTTGTGTGTACTGGCAGGGAACAGAAGAAAGCGCTGCAGGCTGAAGTCAGCTCCATCCAAACAAAATTTAATTCAGCATATTTACACAGGAAAAACAGTAGGTTTATGTCCAAAAATGAACTGCTGCATTTGGCTGTGCAGCTTGGCCACCTGAAATTTTTGCACTGGATGCTAATCCACCATCACATACAACAATACCATGTCACCAAACAATAGAAAATACTATGTGGCTGGTTGAGTTTTCCAAGATTTGCAAAGAAAACAGTAAGAAACACCATAAATGAAAATTAATGCTGATTTCGGTATATAAATCCTCTGTATAATTCTACATCTGATAAGATTTTAGGGAAATGCAGTCACATCTAAGTAAAATGTATAGAGTTAGACTATCCAGAATGATGTAACATTTTTCTAAAGTTAAAATGCAAAAATACCTGTTAGGTTCTCAATGACTCAGTGCCAACTACAGTTACAGTATAAGGATTTTGAGCAGAGCAAATCACAATATTATAATACATGGCAGTAGCACTCTTGCAAACAAAGAAAATATACACTGCAGTTTATATCTTGGACAGCAGACTAGTTGTATCGGACACAGGCGTATTCAGTGGACTCGCACTCATGGACCCGCATGCTGTCAGAGCCGGGTAGAACGGGTAGAATAATGTCAGCGTAGATCACATCATCTTCATTCATAACCTTAAGACACAGACACACACTCTCATAAACTTTCAATGTGGTCAAAAGCACAAAAGATTTTGCTCTGTAGGCCTATGTCTTGACAGAGAATTGACTTACATTGTTGGTATTGGTCATGTCACAAGACTCATCAGGCAGCTGATTGCCTAACATAAAGATACAAATTCTTATTTAAATACAAATTGCATTTACAATACCAGTAAATATAATGACATGTTCAGTGCTGTGCAGAGCGGTTTCTCAAGCTTTTTCTTACAGTTATTTAATCAGTATAGTAGTACTGTTTGTACTAAGTATGTGACACAGGTTACATAAGAAAGCCTGACTCTACATTTGCAAAATATTTACCATCATGTGGGTAAAAGTGAAAACAGAACTCGGAGATCCAGCTCACGTAAGTGATTGCCTCAAAAACCACAAAGTACAGTTGTGCAAGGTGACATGTGTGCACCTGTATATGTTTGGAAGTGACAATTTTCTATTGTAGAGATTTCAACAGACCCTTTCTATAGGTTCAGGAGAACTTACTTGTTCTTCTTCTGTTCACAAGAAACACTGCAACCAGCGCTGTCAAAGCCACACATCCCACCACTCCCACAACAGCACTGATCATGCTCTGGTTTCCCGCTGAAAATGCAAATTACATCTTTTGTCAACATTTAACATGTTGTGTATGGCGGAAACACATCCCATAAATCCATATTTAACATTAAAGGAATAGTCTGAGAATTAGATGAGAAGATTGATAGGCTACTACACACATTCTTGTACGCTAAAAGCTGCGTTTCGACCTACACATCCCAGAACTAGGAACCTTTGTAGGAACTCGTTTGCGCATTTACGCCAAAGAGACCAGGGTCTAAATTTAGTTGCTAAGCCAAATACTGGGTCTGGAGTTGTTGTTTTAAGTTTTCATCAGTTAGAAAGTTTTTACACAGAGCTGAAGTCGGTCTCATCCTTTCCAAAACAAGCAGAACAGCTGATTACAGCAGGTAATAAAGCTCCTTAAAATCCTGTTTCTCTGACGCCCAGGCGGACACAGACGTGAGTCTGGTCAGCTTACATGCAGCTCAGCTGGAAATGTTTTAATAACCTTCCAAACTGCGATTTTATTGTTTATTGTTGCTTTCTCTGTGCTGGAGTTATTTTAAGAACTTGATGGCTTTATCCAGTTTGTTATTAAATGTGTGACAAACTTTATCGTGTGTCTCTCCATTATACTCCCACACAAAAAGCTGCTTTCATGGTCAAGCATAGCTTATAGTTTTTCATTATATCCCAGTCAAATCTAATGTTCATTTATAAATTTTGCTCTTGGATAGTGGTTACAAATAACGATGCCTGTGCATCGCTTTGTACAGCGTTTAGGCCTACAGCCTAAGGCAGTTGGTTAATTTGCCTAATCTTCGCAGGTCTTTAGACCACGGTGGAAACACACACAACAGTGGGCTGAAGGAACCTTTTAGTTCCTTGAAAAGAGATCTGGGAACTTAAAAGTCCCCGGTACTTTTGTTTGAAACATGGCTAAACATGAAGCTACAGCCAGCAGCCGGTTAGCTTAGCCCAGATAACCCCCTAAACAAGGGCAAACAGCTAGCTTGGTTCTGTAATAAAATCGCCTACCAGCAACTGAACTCACAAATTGCCAATTTTTTATTTGTTTAATCTGTACTAAAAACGACTGCAGTTTTCTGGTTAGTTGTATGTAGCTTGGACAGATATGAGATTGGTATAAATCCTCTCATTGAACTCTTGGCAAGACAGAGTTTAATGAGAGCATTGATAAGTGCATTTCCAAAAATGCCAAACTAGTACTTTAATATTTAAATTGGACTTTACTAAAGTAAAATTAGATTTAGATTGCAGACTATTAGTTTGCAAATTGTGTAGATCTATCCTCAATAATCCACATAAGATTAACCCTGAAAGTAACATATATTTATAAAATAATTAGCTGGGATATTATTACAAGTTCTGCCCTTTCGCTTCCTTTGTATAGGTAAACAGAGATGGGTTATTATCAACATAACTTTACAAAAACTCAATTTGTATATGAGTGATATTTAGCTGGTATGTAAGAACAATACTGTACCTTGCTTTTCAGGTTCTAGTTCTATGATGAGTCCTCTTCCCTTCCCTTTAAGAGCTACAAAGAAAGTAGGAATTGTTATTAATTCATTGCATTCAA